TACATATATATATATACATACACACACACACATATGTGTGTGTCTATATATATATATACCTCTATGGACCTTTACCTGAAAGTTTTTCTAAGTAAAAATGACACTGGTTATTGCCCCTGTGATTTGAATTGGATGAATTGCAAAGTTTAAACCTCTTTACATTGTTCTATTCCCATCTGTCAGTGTCTGTGTGTATATCCCTGAATAAAGGTATCATTCCTATTCTCTATTCTGCTTTCATTGGCAGTAAAAGCGCACGGCATTATAATTAAAATAAATTAATATATTAAACAAACTAACAAAATGAATCCATCCATCTTCTGATCACTTATCTTGGAAACGACGTGGACCTGGAACCAATTCCAGGCAGCAGGTGGAGCAAGCAGGGGATGTTCACTGCAGGGCACATATACCTACACACTATGGATGAATTAAGAAACACCAATTAGCCTAACTGCATTCCTTTGGACCGTATGAGGGAATCAGATGACCTGGAAAAAGCCCACGTAACACAGGGAGAACAACTTCTGAATGAGGGCAGGATCTTTCGGTAAGAGGCCAGGGCTGATTGGGTGTGTGGGGCAAAAAGATAGGAGTGCAAACCCTAGGCAGGGAAGCCAAAGTCTTCAGGCTCCCTGGTACAAATGAAATCACCATCCCCCAGAGACAAACAAATTCCTTGTCCCCGACCACTGAAGTACGCGGCAATGGGATAGAGCCCTTTTAATTGAATTGGTTGAAATCGTAGTTTGCAAACCCTGTCCTAGCTCATTTTTTCCCCCCTGACATGGATTAGGTGGTCACCCTACTGCTACCCCTGACTCCTTAAAGAAAAAGTCTGAATTAATGACAGAGGCAGACATGGGAATATGACCTATCTGTGCCTGAAGAAACCTGGAGCACATTCATAAAATATCAATGTCATGATTCACTGCCATGTTACAGCTCCGGTTAAGTGCAGAGAAATAAGGAAGCACCATCCTGTTTGAAGCTTGACCACAGCACAACATCTCCCTCGCCCAGCTAAACCCCAGACTCCCTTCACAACCTAGTTCTTTTTGGCTCTCAAGATCTGCTTGAAGATTGCTGCCCGCATCCATTCTCAAGTGGGACAGTACAGATCTGAGCTATGTGTGTGATGGCAGGATTCAGTGCCACACTTCCGAAAAACCTAATGTCGCCCAATGGGTCGACTGGCACTGACTGCTGGGAAATGTTAAAGGGGTGAATTTTAATATACATGAGGTGCTGGACAGGCAGAGATTACTGGATATGCAGCACATATTAAACACCTGTAAACAGAAATTGAACCACCAGCATACTTCTGAGATCTGCTTCCCCAGCGGTTCATCTGCAGAAGGACATGGTACGTATCAGCGGCCAGACATGTAGCATGGCCCCGGAGGGGGACTAAGCAACCCCACAGTTCACCTCCTGCCATTTGACAGCTGGCGAGGTCAGTCTGCTCCAAAACCTCAAATCTTTGCCTACATGCAGTAAAAGCAGGAGAGTCAGGAGACCATGTGACAAAACTACGATGTTGGGTTTGGCATGCATGTGTGTCACAGCCCCACAGCCTCCCTCTACGTGTGGCTCTTTATCTACAAATAATAGAAAGTGCAATCCTTACACTTTTGCACACATTTTTAACCCTTTGGTTTTCATCGTGGTAGGCTGCTTCTGTCTGGTGGAGCAGTGCGTCTAATTGCCAAAGCTAGAAAAGGACGGGTCCAATAAAGGGAGCAGTAACGAATTCTCACAAGGCCTTGCTCCTTATTTAAACAACAGTTCAATAGACAATATGTGCCATATGCTAACAATACAACACATCTCTTATTTTTATCTCGTTTTAATGTAAGCCACAGTACATTAAACTGTGCAGTCATGTCATTTCCATTAGAATGAGTGTACCACGCGGCTTCTGTGATCTTCTAATGTGCTGTGATTGCTCATCGTGCAGCGGATGTCTATTCACTCCGAGATAAAACTGCTCTAAATGAATGTGCCCTTTCAATATGTAAAATCATTCTTATGGTTTAAGGTAAGAAACATTTACTTATAAAGTCTGGAACTGAAAAAACAGCCATGTTCTTAAGTGTGCCATCAAATCCTGGTTCAGTCCTATGGAAGGGTGACATTCCAGATGTGACCTACGAGCAGTGATATCATGGGTGCAGACTTCAACCTGCCACCCTACACAGACCGGGGTGGAGAACTGACTCATTGATGGACTATGGCTTTGACCTTAATCACAGGCTGCACCTTGTCTTTAGCAAGCAAGCCCACTCTTTTCTTTTTCTTTAAAGTAAGTATTCCTGGCGGGGGGGGGGGGGGGGTTTGGGGGCAGCCTGCTGACCTCAGACCCCTAGAGGCTTTTTTTCTCCCTACTTGAGAGTTTTTGGTTCCTCTCCTCCATTGTCATCTGGCTTTCTTTCATTTCTCTGTCTTTCCTTTTCCCTATTTTTGTACTGTTCAATCTTATTGATGTTGTAATGTGTCACAACACACCCATGTAAAGCACCTTGGGGCTACTCTGTTGTGTAATGTAAGGCGCTATATAAAAATAAATTGAATTTAACTGAAATCCAATAGGACTTTCTGTGTGTATGATACAGGTAACGCTTGAGGATACAGGCCATCTTAAAAACAGGACGGCTCTCTGAGTCGAAGCGGAACCTTCCCTCGGAGAAACCAGGGACCCAGCGGGTCATTCTTCGTCAGGAAGCAGTACTGGCAGGACAAAGTAACGCGGAAGAAGAGCCAAATTCCCTTCTCAAGAGGATGCTAATTCGGACTTAAATGGGACATGGGAGGAGCGATGCGCGCAGGACACTGCTGACCTACCACTGCGCCTTCAGAAGACCATAATGACAGCTCAGGAAAAGCTGCATCTTAATGGCCAAAATGCTGGAGGCCATGAAACAGGCCTCACAGATTAGCTGCGGCCCACTGCTTGGCCAGGTAGGTAGGGTTCAACCTAAATGGGACCCCAATATCCGAACAATTAAATCTACCAAAACTGATGCATTTTGCTTGTCATTTGTCAAATGCGCACCGCCTTTATTTAATTCTGGGAAACAATGGAGTGTATATAAAATAAGAAGAGCAGGGAGATAAGAGAGCCGGGTAGAGCAGGCAGGTGGTTTACGGTTACAGCATGAACTTTGGGTGTCAGGAGTTCATGCCCCCCACGGGTGAGCACACAACACGAGAGTGGACAGAGGAATGCAAAGAAGGGCATTGTGGACTCACGATCCGTTGATGACCCCGTCGGGATTGAGCATGGGGATGATCTTGAAGATGTAGACCTCACGCAGAGCCTGGGCTGCAGGCTCTTCGCTGCACAGGAACTCCAGGGAGCCCTTCATCACCCAGCTGGCGTTGCTCTCCCCGGGGTGCACACGCGCCGTCAGCACCACGTAGGGCCGGTTACCTGGAAGGGCACCTCACTTAGGACACAGATCTCCAGCCGCCTTCTACACCTCTCAGCCTCCTCCACAGAGGAGTCCTCTAATCTAACTTGAGGTAGGTTTTAGTAGATCAGGAGAATAATAGCTGTTGCACCTTCAAACATTCAAGATGGGCAATTTGCTGTACAGATTCAATTTGTGAATCATTTCAAATAAAAGCATCGTTTAGGGAATTAAATAATAATGCTTATTGATATGGTAATTAACCTAGTGGCAATGTCATGCGTGTGTTAAGGCAAAGCATTAATAATTGAAACAAAACAAAATGGAGCCAGCAACTTCAACGGGGTGTGTGAAGGAGTCTTCCACTCATGTGAAGGACCATATTCCACTCTGTCATGCTTGGAAAATCAGTTATTCCCCAATCTGTAGACCAGTGTCTAGGTTCTTTGCATCACTAGAATATGGGCCTTTACACAACAAGCTACAGATGTGGTGTCCAACAGCTGTGAACTTCCCGTCTGAATCATACATCTAAATCAAGGAGAAGTGGTTTCCAGACATGGGACTGGAGGGACAAGACAAAATTCGAGCTTCCCAAAGATGTTCACAAAAGTTAATGATGCCCAGCTGGCTCTGATGGGTACAGCCAGAGACCGTGACATTAGAAAACCCAGCTAGTGAGAATGGAGCTGGCAGAGAACAAAGAAAGATGCAGCCTTAAAGACTTCTGGAGGATTTTTCTTTAAGCTATGTGGTTTCTTAAAGGGCTAATTAGTATTTCAGCTGTACACTTGGGGTACATATGTCCTACCTATCATAGCTCCTCCCCCACAAGACATTAACAATCCATGTGCAGACAGACTGCTTGCCACCGCATGTCTGATTTAGCTTGCAGTCTAATGCGGCATTCGGCGAACAAGCTTTTTCAGTCCAAAATCTATCTGTGATTCATCACGTACCAAAAGAACCCGTGTAAGCTGGGGCACCACTAGAGATTTTGGTCCCCATGAAAGCATATCATATTAGGTCCCCAACCCAGACCAATCCAATTATGCTCCAAAATTCTTAGACCCCCTATCACTCAGGAGCCCTTGGAATCTCCCTAACTTCCCTCCCTTTATGGCGCCCCTGGGTGTAAGCCAACGTTCCATCGTCCTCAAAGACCACGAAAGCTCCTCAATGCGCTTCCATCCCACTTTTACATCATGCTGCATGTTGTTGCTGACCTGGGTGCCATTTTGCCTCAGACCATGTGTCCATTTGTTCAGGAAACAAACTCAAAGCAACACACATTAAGATGGTTTGAGTGTGTAACAAGAAGTCAACAAGATCCTAATGCCAGCTTTGAGGAAGAGCCTCCTTGCACATTGTACACACATGGACAATGGTATTTATTTGTCCTTAAATGATATAATACAGAGGGAAATGTAAACTGCTGAATTAGAAGATTCTCAAAGTCACTGGGGAAAAAATGTATATAGTTAAGAGTTTGACTTAAGGGACATTTTTTGATAAAGAGGATCAAACTTTTAGACATGTACCCGTTTCTATTGCAGGTAGAATTTTACAATTTTTTTCTCCAAAAAGCTGATGTTTAGAGAAGATAGCAAGGCGGATTTTATATCAGAAGCACATTAAGAATTTAATTTAATCTGGCAATTGTGCTCCTTGCTTCCTTTCAGGACAGTATGAGGGGTAGAAATTCACCAGGTGTTTGCATTGATCCCTCAGTAATGGGTTTTCGCTGACCTTTCAGAGGTGCACTCTCCTCCCTGTTTGTTCAGGTTCTGTACGTACTGCCGTCTTGGGGGTGGCGGAGGCCGCAAGGAAGTGAAGAAGCAAACTAAAGCAACGCAAGATTCCACATTCATTGCACAATTTTCCTGTAAAACAATATTAGGTAGAGCCCAAGTTTTCTATCGCGTTATATCAGGGACACGTCGAAATGTTTATCTGGCCGCAGTTGACAGCATTAGAGTGGAACGTAATAAACTCATAGATATCATAGAATTGATATGTGAACCACATGCAGTTCAAAGCTCGTCCCCCCAGAGAATCTGATTAAGGACACACACACACAGCCCTTTGTCTGCATCTGAATAACGGAGCCTCAAAATATATGAAATATTAAGTGAAAAAATTCAGCAAAGGCCTTCCCATACTGAAATTAACTGAAGAAAAAAGAAGATTAAGAACACACGGGCGTGTCTGAAGAAAGTGTCCTGAGTATGAAATGAGAGTGATAAATATCACATCAGCCCAGAGCACAGGATTTCATTTTCCTTCAGGAGTAGCTGACGTGAGCTTGGAAACTTCATCATTTATATTCCAGCCCAAGAGTAAAAAGAGAGTGTTTTTCTGCATGTCTTGTCCATTAAACCAAAAATGCACAGGCTCAACAAATCATTCTAACAGAACAAACAACAAATTAAGAGGAGTAAAGACTTCTTTTGTTTGAAACAGACCCATTGGCAAGAGATGAAGACCACTGATAATCATGTACAGCTATGTTAATGGTCTCATACGGTTATATGTACAGTATGTGGAGGGGCAATGTGACACAATTATGCATGCGCCAGTTTACACCGAAAGAGTGCAGAGTTACTGCTTTCCCATCTGGACACAGGTATTATTTAGAAGCCAATCGTGTCAAGAGCAGTTCCACTCTGACCTCTCGGCCCCTCCAGTGATGAGACCCATCCTCACAGTCATGTCAGTCACGAGGTACTGAGGGACCTTGGAAGATCTGCATCCTGCTTGGCTACAGACAAATTCACACTACACAGTCAAACCCAGACGAAGATAGAGAGTAGATGTCTGGCACACTTTTTATCTAATCAAATAAAAAATTCTTATCCCCCCTCCCTCTCCATCTGATCCCGAGGGAGCAGAACCACTAATAAAACAGAATGCTTCAGTAAAACCCACTCGTATCAGGAGGCTCTGTGTACAGGTCACAGGCAAGGAAACCTTCACATGCTGTTTGCTGCGAGGCATTAAAGAAGCAAAGTGGCGTGTCTTCATCGCGACCCGCATTACAAGGCAGCCCGTGATCCGAGATCCAAGCGGTGTCCTCTGGCTTTGAGAAGAGGACTGAGCATGAGAGCCGTACAGCGACCCAGCAACATACCGTGAAACCGCTCTGGGAAGGCGATAGTAATCAGCACCATCCGAGACCCCATAGGCGGCCATAGGCATGAAATAGGCACATGCGCCTGGCTTGTGCAATCATTATTTCACATGTAGTCAGTCTCATGGGGCAGGTCACATGACTTTGGAGTCATACTTCTAACACATTCACAATAAACTTTGCACTATATTAAATACAGTTTATATTTTTTAACCTAACCCACGTTACTTTTGGATTTAGTTCATTAGCTCTCAAATTCTGCAAAATATTGAAATACTTTTGAAAAACAGATGTAATATAATTATGTTGCAATTTCAAGGTTATGGCTAATTAAAAGCTTTCACTGATGATAAAATGCTGAGGTCTTTAATAAATAATAAAGTCCAGCATTATCGCTGGTATTCATTTGATTGTCTAGTGATCTCTGGTAGCCTGTGACGGAAAAACAGCTGTCCCCTCACCTACAGTTTCATCCCACTAGGTCTGCCTGAACAGTAGGTCTGATTCTGGAGGTGAAGACCAGCAGTAGGGAGATGGGATTGCCTCTCCCAGATGCTCGACGGAAACATGGCTGTCATGTCGAATCACGCCTTATCCATAAATGTACTCACTGCTGAGATCAAAGCATCGCAGCTCGGCTTGGGATTCCGGACACAAACACCTAGCCCATGATGATGAGCCAAGGCTTCCACCTCTCCACAAACTACACAGGCGTAAACAAATACAAAAAATCAATGATTTCTGTCTAAATCTTTGGGGGCGTAGCCCATTATGCAAAAGACTCCGGAACAATAGATCCTAATATAGAATCGACCTCGTTATGAAGTAACCCCTGGCAATGGGAAAGTCAACTCATTCTCCTCTATGCCCACCATCTACATGCAAATACTGCTTAATTGCTACAGATAGGGTGATGTCCATTTTGAGTCGTGGAATGAATATGCCCTGTGAAGCTTATGAAAATGTGGTTTTAATTTCCAGTTTAATTATTAGAGATGTCACACTGCAATTATGTTGCCTCATCTAATTATTAAACCTAATTCTATTTAGTATGACAGTTTAGCTAAAAGCATTCAGCTTCAAAATGGATTTCCCCCCCTAAGCTTGTAATATTCACTGTGAGAACATCGATGACTCAGAGGGTAATGAAGGCGGCTACCAAGAACTTCTGCTGGTACAGTGCTCTATACATCACGTTGTCTGGAGATCTATCTGGAAATCACCCAGCTACCAATTTATGTTGCCAGTATACAGAGCTAGCAACTACCAGGATTAGCTCAAGGGACTTATGTGAAGCACAGTTTACAGCCATTATAACTTAACAGGAGGAAATGATGCCACACATGAGAGTGCCAGGTTGGGGACAGTTGGGTGCAATGCTAACTACAGCATGACCCCAGTCCTAGAGTTTGTTCTTTGAGGGCCCAGCTTGGGAAGCCCACCTTAACCAAGCCAGGAGAAAATTTCAGACCATGCTACGGAACAGGATCAGAACTCCATTGTATCACCATGTTAGCTACATACGCCGAGGCCTGATGGTTTAATCAAGGGTAAATCAGAGATCGGCAGACCATGAACGACCAGAACCATGCTGTGAGCATGGGAATCCCTCCAAAGACACCTGATAAAGGCTGAGGCACCAAGTTTGCTGCAGCACAGCTCAGAGTATCTGGGTTATAATGCCATGTGGTCTATGGCATTATGACCGGCTGCGTGAGGACATTAACCATGCGTACGGATGAGAGAACGAGTTCACAAGTTCATGGGCATCACACCTCTCACAGTGTTTCCAGAAAGTGCAGTGAGTTACTGAGCTTTCTCTCAGCTGTGCCCCACCTGCTCTACCTCACAAGGGTATCTCTGTCCCTCCGACCAAAGCACCACCATAAATCAAGGAGTCCAGGTGGTCAGCAGAGACCAAACCTCCATCCACTAAAATTTTAATACAAAATGCTCTTCAGATGTGGATTGATGTTCCTAAATCGGCAACTGTGTTAGTGCATGCACTGTGATGGACTGGCATCCCATGGGGTATGGCCTCTCTGCTTCCTGGGAAGGGCACCAGGCTCAATATGTACAGAATATTTTCATCCTGGGAAAACCAAAAGTATAATTCAGCTCCCTTTGCCATTTTAATATCGTGTTCAGAAAACTTCCGAAATTCTTAGCTAGTATCTCGCTTCCTAGGTGAACAAACAATGGCTCTACAGCTCCGGCGGCCATTTCTACACAATATCGGCAAAAACAAAATGTTCTGTTTTAATATTAATAAATATTAAACACTTTCGCTTGAAATGCCTTGGCTAGGATCTTGAATTATAGAATGATATGACATTTATTTACAATATTTCACAGTCATTACTGTGTGTCATGACCAAGCTCCAGCACATATTCTGGTGCCCCACATGAGCAGAAAGTTATATTTTGATATTTAAATATTTCACAGCTTCTGCCTTGTGTCAAGAACAGCCTCCACCGCATATTGTGGAGCCCTGTGTGGGGAGAAAGATGCATTTTAATATTTCATGCCCACTATTCTGTGCTGTGACCAATTTTTAAAAATCATTTTCAGCCACATCCTGACAACTCCTGGCACAACAAAATTGGCATAGGGCTTTTCTTAGTGCCAGTGTTACGTTGTGTTATATCGTATTATGTTATGTTTGTACTCTGGTGTACAGGAGATGGGGTGAAGTGCAGCCGGGTGACGAGCGCATTCATTCGCGTTGCTTGTGGCTTATTATCAGTCCTTACTGGTTTTCTTTTGACCAGTTATAACTCTTCCTGGATTGCATGCCTTTGGCTAAGCTGAAATGACTGTTTTCACTGTTCCCTGCTGCTCTTTTAACCACGTCCCCTTCCATCCCTAAATAAAGTCCCCAATCCCTACTCCTATGCCCGTGTCACATGTTTCTTTCTGCTGTCCTGCCTGGAGCGAGACTAACAACCTGCTTCTGTGTCCTTTGTGCTCCACCCAACTAATAAAACATTCATGCATTAAACACCCTAAGGACCATGCTGGGTCCTGCATCCCTGCACTACTCCATATCGCTCGCTGCCTCACTGTTTGTGATGTCTGAAAGCCCCCTCCGATAGCGCACGCTCCCTCTACATATCGGCCTTTATAATCGTTCATCCGATGTCACAAAAAACACATCCTGCTGTCCAAACATCGTCTGGGAGGTAAACACGGGAGCGCTCTGTTCCCGACGTCGCTGTCAGATTTAGTTGATTTGTGTTGGCTCAGACTAGAGCGAGAAGAAAGCCAACATCAGGTGACCTCAAAGCAGGGATCCTGCAGCAAACATGAGGAGTGCCAAGCGTGCCATGGCGCGACAGGTGAGGCAGCCTGGCATCGCGGCATTCTGGACCTCTATGGATCCCGGCGTCTGGCAGGCGCACTTATACCTACAATAAGCAGTAATCATATCACACACAAGCATCTGTCATTCTGCTTCACAATGCTTTTTCTATGATGGTTGTACTGAAGAGAATATGAAGTCATACTGTGCATCTGATTCACCTACAGCATATGGTAAATACAGAGTTCTTACACACCACGAAGCCACCTTCTTCCCTACAGGAATCTAAACAGTGTGTTAACACAGCAGTCTGATATGATAATACATTCCTTCGCTGTTCTGAGCTCCATATGCTCCGGATCTCCTGGGGGAGCCTGGCACAGCTGTCTCACCTTCATATTAATCAGGGGGAGGAGCAGGACTGAGAAGGGCTTCCTGGCACCAGGGCCTGACGATGTCCCCATATACACACAGGAAGGGCCAGGACACACCATCTCTCAGCTCTCATCCCCGTACCACACATCCATCACCGTCGGCCGTGAGCTACACCAGGCCATGTAGTGGATTGCATTCAAAGATATGCAGAAGGGCGCTGCTGGGGACGAGCATGTCAGGCAGCGAGCCAGCTGGGGGGGAAGTGGCCGCCGCATATCTGCCTCCATCTCTCGGCTGCTTCGCAGTAAACTCCTCTTGTAGTTACTTCCCAGATGCCTTTGCCCAAGGCAGCTGCCAGGCGCTGAATGTACCCAGACATTCTGAAGATGCTCAGTTTAACATACCTGCCAGTGGAGGAAGTGAAACGACTTTCCAGATTTTCACGCTGTACTGTACATATTGTTGTGTGGATGCTCTCCCACCTCCAGCACCATCCTCATCGATCTCTCAAGGCTCCTCCCAGGAGATCTTGCGGGTCCATTTATGTTTTGTTTACCAGGTGTTGTTTAAGCACCTTGCTCAGCAGAGCCTCTCCCGGGGCTGGCAGCCCTTCCTCCATCAAGGAGGCTGTGCTACTTTGCTACCTTCAGCAGAAGCAGAGGACAGGAGCATGCTGGCCTACTTACGGAGCTGCTGCAGGTCATTCCAGCGGCGGGACGGGGGACAGGCTGTGATGGTAACCAGGGGACAGGGGTTTCCTGCCAGTGTGTTGCACAGATTCTGTTGCTGGAAGAAGACCTTGCGGGGATCCAAGGACCGCTGGAGCATCTGAAGGTGTGTCTGAAAGAGCAAGACCCATATGGCTCCCACATCACCTGTAACCTCTAAGAGGACCCCTGCCCAGTCATTAGCAATATAAGTAATGCTTCTTTTCTACTTCTTTTTGGCTTGCTAATCCTCATAGACTCAGTAAAAATGAACAGTTAAAAAGTGGTATAAATGATGGGAAAATGCCCTTTCGTCTGGTGGTGAACATCAAAGAGTCATGTCAAAGTCAAGTCAAAGTCAACTTTATTGTCATTGTGCATGTGCACAACGAAATGTGGAAGTAGGCACTCCTCATCCATGCATCACACGTAATAATAATAAGCAGATTAATATTTACAAATAGTACAGTAGTTGTTTTCTGGGTGCAAGGGTCATATATTGTCGTGTATGTTTGTATATAGACTAGTTGGACAAAAGTATTGGGACAGCAGGCCATTATACCAACAGGAATTTTTATGACATCCCATTCTAAATCCATAGGATTTTTTGCCCATTCATCCAGAAGAGCACTTGTGAGGTCAGGCACTGCTGTTGGATGTGAAGGCCTGGCTTGTAGTCTCCGTTGTAGTTCATCCCAAAGGTTTTTCATAAAGTTGAGATCAGGGCTCTGTAGGCCAGTCAAGTTCTTCCACACCAAAGTCACCAAACCATGTCTTCATGTACCTTGCTCTGTGCACTGGGGTATAGTCATGTTGGAACAACAAACTGTTCCTACAGAGATGTACGCATAAAATTGTCCAAATGTCTTGGTATGCTGAAGCATTAAGAGTTCTCTTCACTGGAACTATGGGGTCTAGTCCAACCCCAGAAAAACAACCCCATGCCATTATTCTCCTCCACCAAATATTACAGTTGGAACAATGCAGTCAGGCAGGTAACGTTCTCCTGGAATCCACCAAAAGCAGACTCATCCATCACATTGCCAGGCAGAGTGATTCATTGCACCACAGAACGTGTTTCCACTGCTCCAGAGTCCAATGGGAGGGTGCTTTACGTCACTCCAACTGACGCTTGGCATGTGAGGCTTGCATGCAGCTGCTCTGCCAAGGAAGCCCATTCCATGAAGCTCCCGGCACACAGTTTTCGTGTTGGTGTTAATGCCAGAGGAAGTTTGGAACTCTGCAGTTCAGTCAACAGAACATTGGCGACTTTTACGCACTAAGTGCCTCGGCACTTGCTGACCCCGCTCTGTTACTTTAGGTGGTCTACAGTACCACTTCATGGATCAGTTTCAGTTGTACCTAAACACTTCCACTTTGCAATAATACCATTTACAGGTGACCATGGAATATCAAACAAGCAATATATTTTACAAACTGACTTATTGCAAAGTTGGCATCCTATGACAGCACCATGCTTGAATTCACTCAGCTCTTCAGAACGAGCCATTCTTTCACAAATGTTTGTAAATCTGACTTCATGGCTGGGTGCTTGATTATATATACCTATGGCAATGGGTCTGAATGAAAATTTTATAATTTCGAGGTGAGTCCCAATACTTTTTTCCATATTTTACACACACACACACACATATTATATTAATATATATATATATATATATATATATATATATTAGGGCTGTCAAAATTAACGGGTTAACGCGGATTAATCCATCACCATGATTAATCTGATTAAAATTTTTAACGCAATTAACCCATCTGCAGCGCAGAATGACTCAAAATCCCTGAAATGTCTCTGGCAACCCATTTCGGGCAGTTTTGGTGCAGTTTTGCCCTGGGAACTCATATTCCGAGTCGGATTTCGAGTATTGAAGCCGGAAGTGATGACATGCATGCTCCCGTTTTTTGGAGATCGGAGAAATATCTCGGAGCAGTACAGACAATCCCGAGTTCAGAATCCAAGACGGCTGCGCCTTTTATCAACAGAAGGGAAAGTTGTAGTTTTATACTGTTTAAGCACTGCTTCTCATTTGTGGCTCATTAAATCGATCACACACACTATACCGTGCAACTTATCTGTGGATGTGTTGCTACTAGAGTGACCACCTAATCCATGTCAGGAGGGACACTATGAGCTACAACAGGATTTGTAAACTACCATTTCAAACATTTCAATTAAAAGGACCAGGATTTCACTTCAGCACTGGGTTCTTGCTGATTGGTCAGTCTCCTATAATCATGCATATGTGTCAGTAATGTTAATGCGAAACAGCTGGATGAGTCTTTCAATCTAGGAACTAACCAAACAGTTTAGCAGAGCCCAGAACCCTTTCAGC